GAAGAAAACTTGATTTGTATTACCAGCAGCTCAGCTCCTTAAACTTGCAGAAACACGAAATTTATGTTTCCGTGTATATTTACACTGTCGTTACAGAGAGCACCAGGCCACAGACGATAGATCTAAGCAAGATGGCTGTTCCGTTGGTATCCACTACAGATAATATAACTCAACAATCTACCATGCAGGGCACTAGTAGTGGTAGTCTGGGAGGCACTAGCATTTTAACTGATTTTTTCAATGGTAAGTGTACAAATATAGTTGAATCACAGTCGACTTCATAGTGGAAATATAAATAGCATTTGTTTATTCCTTTTTTTGTGTAAATTTGATCAATGTTCCAATTCATTTTCCTCCTTGACTATAGAAACTTCATCAAAGCCTAGCACCACTGTGGCTGCTGGTATAACTGGAACATCATTTCTACAGACGGCCACCATGGAGGTAGAGAAAGCTTTACAAGAACGCAATAAAGCTCTTAGAGGAAAACTACCTGACACGGATAACTTTCCAGAACTGACCATTCATAAGGCGGGTGATCCACAGCCATCATCAAATGACACTGAGGAGCAAGGATTTCAACCGAGTGGTGGTGGTGGTGGTGGTGGTGGTGATGTTGACAACACTATAATCGGATTAACTGACAGTAGAATTACAGGGCAGCTAGATCCCCAAACTGGACTGTTTCACATAGGGGAGACAGGAAAGCATGGTTCTGAACTCAGTCGATTGATTGACATGCCTGTGAGCAAAAGCAGCGTTGCATTTCAGGAGCCGATCGTGACGCATCAAGAAAAGCCGCGCAAAACTGAGATAAAGGGACATTCCGAACTTTTGAAGCATTTAACTGGGAATGTCTTGCAGGAACCCAAGGAAATTGACCCGTATGATTTCCTGAATCGCGATTTTATAGACAATAAGTCTACCTCAGAGAGTCAGCAACAGTCAAAAGAGCACCCTAGCTTGGTACAAGATAACACTGCGGCTGCTAGTGCTAGCAGTGTCCAGGCAACGAAAGAAAGCTCAAATGCAGCGACTGTTGTGTACGCTACATACCCATCAGCTGCCGAGAAACTCACTGCCATGGCACAGACACGAGAGGAGACTAACAGAGTGACTAGTCTGCCGCTACAAAGGCAAGTTGGCGCCACCAGAGTCAAAACAGGATTGATACCACTGCAGGATATTGCCAGTATTGCTGCGGGCAAGTTATCAACAACTACTCCCTCAACGGTGAGTACCGTAATGAAGGAAAAAGATTTTTTAATTATAGACTGTAGAGGGGGCAATTGAAATTCATATGCAGTATTATAACCAAAGGTTTTTTTTCACCAAAAATATTAACAAATTTATGACTGTCATTTATATGATGTTATTTTCTAACAAATTGTTTAATTTTAGAGTTTCTCAAGTATGGAATCAATGTCAGCACCCACAGCAACAGTGACTGTAATAGCATCTAGCACTGCACCTAACCAGGCAACAGGTGCAACATGTGTCATGGTGGAATCTACTGGCCTTGACACAAGTCACATGAATTTGGAAGATTTTACAAGTCAGAGGCTGTTACATGAAGAGGACAGAGGCTTGCGGCATGATGAAAGCTTTGTCTGGGAGGAACAATCTGGTAGAGGAAGCCCAACACAAGGTAGGTGTGGTATTCCAGTCAGTGAGTTTATGGGTGATCATGTTAAAACATCACTTGGGGACTTTATTTGAAAATAAAACAATTATCTGAAAAACACATTGACTGACTGAGAAAATAGTTTGATTTATGAGATGCCACTGTTTGAATAAACTAAATGTATTTTCAGGTGCTAGTACTTGCAGTAGTGGCTCTGGCACCGAGAGTCTCTGCACTGTAGACAGCTTTGGTGCTAATGTTAGGGCCAGCAAACGGAAGAGAAAGGCTCCGATACCGATCGATGAGGCACCAATGCCGTCTAATTTACCAAGTTGGGTACGAGCAGGGCTAAAGTAAGTTTATGTATACCTCTTTGTATTCATGTTTAATAGAAGTATATAGTATTTTATTAGTGACTTTTACTCGCATATAGTACCTTGGGTTCAATGTGTGCACCAAGTGTCAGTTCTCAGATGTACACTGTCAGAAATTGTTACATAAAGACGCATTAGTTTGTGTATCCCTCTTCTTCAAATTCCTGACATGTTTGGCTACTAAGCCTGTGAAGATGGTAGCATTTTCCATACCGCTATTCTGATAAGTCAGTGAAAACTATTGCTGCAACCAACCAATTACAAAATTTGAAAGAAAAAGAAAATTACTGCATAGTCTATCCGTCATTTATAAACTTGTCCATCCTTGACTGTCACCATTTGTAGATTTACAAGATTAATCTACTGGTTAAGGTACTACTGGACGACAATTGGTAATTTCTCTGCAGGCAGTACTAGGTCTCCATGGTTACTGGGTTACATGTACATTGTTTTATAAATCTGTTTACTAATTCTTAATTATAATCATTCATAAATTGGGTCTTTCTTTGTGCATTCAGTTTACTACAGAGGGTATCTAGATATAGAGGAGCACACAAATCTAAAGGAGAATTAAATGCAGCATCCTGGTTTACAAGGCCGGGTGAGTCCTCTACTCTTCTGTTTCTCAACTGTGTTTTTTAGTCAGTTCCAATGTTAACATGCATGGCTATTGGTCCGTATAGATATATAGCAAATATAGCAGTGATTGTTTTTCTTTTATTGTAGTTGATCCTCACGAGGCACCAGGCTACCACAAGATTATCAAACAACCCATGGACTTTGGTACAATTAAGAAAAAATTAGAGGTGCGTATCAAGTTAAAAATTAATCTTTTCACTACTAGTTCCCTCTTTTCATCACGAATTCCCAAAATAGTCCCGTTTATAGTCTGCTCTTTCCGTCACAGGATTGGAACAAAAATAGTTTTTTGAGTAAACACTGAAAATTGACTCAAATTTTGTCTGTTGGTTCCAAAATTAGGGTTCATTTCTCGAATTATTGAAGAATATAAGATAAAACTGCAGAAAAATTTGGGCAAGAAAATCTGGTGGTCAAAATGTTAAATTTTGAGCTGCCATGTGGTAGGAGCCTTTATTATGCGCCAGTATGGTAATAGTCGGAAGGTTTACTTACATTCATAAAATTAAGGGGAGTTATTTTGTTTTTTCTCCCCAGACTGGTCAGTACAGAGACTTCAACGATTTTAATCAAGATATGATTCTTGTGAAAGGCAATTGCATGAAGTATAATCCACTGGGACATGAAGCAAGGAAAGATTGTGAAGAAGTGTTTCAGTTTTACACCGTGGAGTACAACAAAATGATAGATAAATGGCAGAAGGTATGTTTTTTATTAAACAAACTGGAAATGTTGGTACCTATCTAGGGAAGAACGTGTGTGAAAATTATAATTATCTAGGAAGTGTCGTGTCGTCATTCTAATTTATTAATCCTTGTTTGGTTTGATTCAAGATGGCCATCTGGAAGCCATTTGAGTCCAAAAATGTTTCAAACTCAAAAATTTCTGCCTTTTGGAATAAATAGAACATCATGGACCTTGATACGTCTCGCTTTGTTTTGTAGATTTGAATCAAAATGATGTAATGTGATGGATTATTTCTAACCTAGGCAGTCACCCATGTGTCAATTAGAACTTAGCTAGGGAATTACATATTATACATTTGTTCCATTATTTTGATAACACTATTTACAAAAGATAGCAATACCATACATCTGCAAGTCTTCATATATTACATTGCTCTGTGTTTCATTCTTTTCAGATTCATTGTACTCCACCCAAGTCACCAAAGAAAGTGAGAGTGGATTGCATCCGAAGTCCAATAAAGTCGTGATAGCAGTCCACAAATCAATCTCAGTTAAATGAACCACAACACTACATCTGTCAAATTCATTTTTTTTTTAAAAACTTAAAATGCTATTGCATGTACACAGCTGCATATGCGTGTAATATTTATTTTTTATACTGTTCGTCTACACTGGAGAATGTGTTCTGTGTTGATGGGTGTTTTGTTGAATGCCGGCTTTTTATGATCGAAAGATTTCAATTCGAGCGTCAACAGTGATGCTATTTCAATGATGTAACTGAAATGCTTTTTGGAAAATGTATTTCCATTTTTGACTTTCTACTGTGAATGAACTTCAGTGGTGGCCATGAGCTTACGCACCCATTCTTGTAAAGTTGTACATACAGAATAGCATTATTTTAAACTATACAAAAAATGTAAATATGAGTGAGATTCTCCTGGTAGAATTTTACCAATAAAATAAAATTCCTTTGAACCAAATTCAAATTGTAATTCTCTTCATGTTTTTTGGCTGCAATTTACGTGGTGAAATAACACATTATAAAGACAAGCATTTTTTTTCAGAAGTACAATAGTTTCGAAAGAATTAGGCCAGTATTGCATTTATGGACATGTTAGGGAGTAACATTGTTTGCCATTTATTATTTTTATTTTCCATATATTGATATGTTTTAACATTTTGCCAACAGTCATTCCAAGATTATTGTATATTTGTGTCTTATAAGGACTCATAGCAGAAGGTTCTGTTGAAATGAAATAAATGAACTCATGTCATTATTCATATGAATATTCATCTCCACACTGTCTGTTTTGTTCATACATGTTTAATTACATTTAATCCTTTGGATTTTTCTTTGTGTGTGTTGGAGGGATTGAAAATGAGGCAAACACCGGTGTTCAGACGCAACCTTTACTGGCATGATTTGTATAAGCAGTTGGTAAGATAGAGGCATGTCATTCTCCGTTGCAGAGACTATGGGTCCTTTATCACTAAGCTAGGTAGTCGCCAGGGAACGTCCCACTAGTTGCAGCTCTCTGTGACTCCCTAGGTTAAGAAGACTCTGCAAGGGAGAGTGAGAGGCATGTGTGAGTTTGATGTACACCATAGATTGTATATTAAAACATCCCCTGCTGTAACCCTCGACGTTAGCCAAAATTAATGCGAGGGGGGGGGGGGCATTTGTAGGTGATGTGTAAGTGGTAGCTTTACTACCTGCATGATATTTATACATGTACCCCGGTATTTACACCTTATACCACACTTATACCATACTTTTGGTCATGTGACCAATTGTTCTACCACTATGATTATTTGTGTTTATGCTAATTGTAACCTGGCCATACTTGTATTGATATGCAAAGTGTACCTCCCAGTTTTGTGAATAGACCCTTTGCATATCTGTGTAGCTGGTTTATGAAAACAACATCCATATGCAAATCATCCAATTACATTTATTTACAAATTGCAGGTGTTTGAAATGAAAATGAACAATTCAACGATTACTATCTTGTTGCCATGTTAAATAAGACTGCATCTGTGAAGACGTATTAAGTTTCAGTTGAGTTAATGCAGGTCGAAAGTCTATATGCTTTGTACCGGTAGTACAAGTTACTTGCTTTGAGTATATGCTAGACAGGATTTGATGGTTGAATGGCATCAGACACAACCTTCTACAAGTGCTGGCCTGTTTGTACCACATCTTTCCAGTAGCCCTATTATTCCTTTTATCAGCTGTTCATCAAATCCTTATCTATGCAAAGAGTGGCTGCAATAACCAGAATAAAGAAAAGCAGTTTCTGTCTATATATTAATGTAATGAATGAAAGATAATAGAGCAGAATAAATTCCTACCTTGACAGAATAGCCTGTATAGTAATTGTTAGTCCATAGTGTGCACACCAAGTTTTTGCTTGAAAAAAAACATTCGTTTTATAGTTAAACCATTATCTGCTATATAATTAGTCCCTGTTCGGACACTGTTCAAAAATGGGGAATCT